TTCATCTCTCGTCGCTCGAGCTCCGACTCCTGCGGGTAATAATACGATATACACGGCACGACATACGTTCATATACGCGAGCTGTGTGGCAGCATAGCCCTTATGTATAATGCGTGTGTGTGTGTGGATGTGCAGCTCCCTGAAAACGAAACGGTCTTGTGGGAAATGCATCGGTAATTGCCTTCGCCTTCGGGGTGAAAGTGCTTTTATATGCTCGCCTTCATTGTGTTTAATGCTCTCTTTTACCATTGCAGCTTGCTGCCTGTATATATATACGCGCTCGTGATATATACGTAATACGTTATATACCAACCGCAGCCGCCGTCGTCGTCGTCGTCGTCGTCGTGTGGAAATTGAGTTTATGTACTTTTCGATGAAAAACCGACGACTACGACGACGACGACGACGTTGCCGCGGAAGAGGAGGACGAGGGTTCACGAGGTAAAAAAAAAACAAGAAAAGCAGATTTATAAAAAAAGAGTGCACATATAGGCGCGCTGAAGTGTGTGTTTGCTTCGCGCAGGCCTAGGCTCTCAATAATATAACGCGCACCGAATGCACACACCCGAGCTCGAGCGTATATAAGCCCAAACACATCCTATTATACAGTCGAGAAAATCAAATTCCCTCGGCGATGAAGCGAGTATTTTTTTTTATCGATGATTGATTTCCCTCACGGCACCTCTCTCAGCTCTGTTTTGATTTATTAATTTTTTCCTTCCTCTACGTACGGTCGCAAGAGATCGTACGGCGGCGCAGGAGAACGAGCTTATTTCTACATTGTTGATTTTTATTTTTATCATTCAGATATGGGCTTGTTTACAACCCACGCATAAAACGCCGCGAAAAGGTGTTTATTAGGCTACGAGAAAATTGATTTTTTTTTGTTTTTTTCGTGTACACCGTGTGTACACACAACAACACACTCGAGTCGTGTCGAGCGGGCGCGCGTGCGGCTTAAAGGGAGCAGCTGCAGCTGCAGACTCTGTTTTTTTTTAGCATACGTGCAGCGCACTCGATGCGTGCGGTGTAGTATATATCGATCTAGTTCAAAGTTCAGCCGTGTAATACATATAATAAAAAAAAAAGGGAGTAGGGCTCGTACCGAGGCAAATGGCAAACGAACGCGGAGGAACTGTTTTTCCTTTTTTTTCTATTAACTCGCTGCCGTAGGTAGCGCAGCTATAGACCCCTTAATTTAAAACGGAAACGTATTTTGTATTATAATATGTATAAGCCGAAATCCCTTCCAAATGAGAATCAAGAGTCAAGCAGCAGCGGCAGCGAGCTCGAGAGGTATAGGTCCCGCGCATTATACATCCAAGACGAGATCACTTCGGCTCGAAGAAGAGCTCTCGCGAGCTTATCCTCGATGCGCTGCGCGCGACATCCTCGAGTGTTTCTCTTTCTTCTTTTTTTTTTTTATATATCGTCTGCAGTATATACATATCTCTCTCTCCCGATCTCTCACTCTCGAGTTTTCAATTTGAAGTTTTTTCGTCAGTAGAGAGAAAAATGGTAAAATGATTCACGCGCGCGAGGATTATTCTATATACACCAGCTCGAGTCATTTTTTCCATATATAAACCTCTATAACGGTACTTACGCGTATACGAAAGTTTCGTGCGAAAAAAAGAATCATAAGTGCGTGTTACCGTGAAATGGGGAAAAATTTTTTACTTCGCGCCTTTTTCTCCATTATGCAACTCGCGCTCTTTCTCCGCTACTACTACCACTACTACGGCGACGTGTGCTGCTACTGGGATGAATAGCCATGACGCGTATATATATACGCGAGGGCCGAGAAAAACACTGCAGTGGAGTGCAGGAGAGTTAGGGTCCGTCGCTCGCGCGGCGTAAAATGGAAACCTTTTATACGCGTCGTCGGTGGTGGTGAAAAAAAAAAGAAAAAAGAAAAAAGGAAACTGAAAAATTTTTCTTATAAACCACCTTCTATTTTTCATAGTTTTGCATTTTTATCGGGGCTTTATGAAGCCGTATCAGGACCGCTCTCGTATATAAATACTACTGGTGTGACGCGCGCGCGCGAGTGGCCCGAGTATAATTCACTCTCTTTTCTCTCTCCATGAGTTACAAGAATTGCCATATACGTGCAGCTGCAATTTTTTTCCTATTTATCATTTCCTCAATTTTTCCCCCTATTCGCCAACCCAGCAAAAAGTCGTCGTATGTATACGGAGATACGTACAGGGAGAAGAAAGAATGAAAAAAAAAAGGAAAGGAAAACAAAATTTCCACGTTCCGATGCTGTATACACATCCCGCCGTTGCCAATATATAGAGAGAGACCGATAGAAAGAGACCACCGTCGCCGCCACGTGTGTGTATGTTGTGGACATGTGTCGCGTAGCAGTAATAGCTCGGACGATGCGACGGCGGCGGTGGCTTATTTTTCCCACGCTCCGTTTTTTTCCATTACCGCGCGCCGATATCATAACGCCCGAAAAATTCCTTTTTTTTTTTTAATAAACACGTATTATTTATACGATCGTACGATTTGCTTCTGCTTGTGCGGCGGCATCGGTGACTCATATATAGATATAATTTACGCATATACAAAAATCAACATTGATTTACAAATTTATATGAAATCGCGCGCGATGCTCCCTCGGCTTAAGTAACACCCGAAATCGAGCGAGGTGCGATAAATACACTCGTAAATCGAATATATCTCGATAATTATAATCGACGGCAGCGGCAGTAATAACGAATATTAATAATAAATACAGCGCGTTACTGTGTACCGAATATAATTTCCATATTACAACGCACTCGAAAATTAGCCAAGATATTACGCGGGCATAATAATTTCCTTATATTATAATGAGTACCGCGCAGAATCATCGTCGTCGTCGCGTCGCGAGAGCAAGAGAGAAGATGTCTCATAAGCCGATCATGAATATTGATATATACCACACACGCACACACATATGAGTGAAATAGTATTATAACATCAGCGCCTGCTCGTTGTAACGTATGTAACAACACTTGAGAGAGGCGAGAGGCGGCTCGAGTGTTGTGATTCTAAATTTCTTCATTATACCATAATGTGTAACGTGTAAGCATCGAATTTTTCCGAGAGTACACGACATCCGCCACACACACACATTGCGCTAATTTATGCAACACTCAAAGTGATTTAATATAATATAGGCCTTGCCGAAAATAAGTATAAAACGTGTGTGCTCCATATAATATATATCCGGTCGTTCGACGCGCGATTCGCGCGGGACAGTTGCTATTATACACGCGTTATATACTCAAACACACACACAAAGTATATTAGTATACCAATTCCGTTTCTTTCTTTCTTTCTTTCTTCGCGGATATCTCGCGCGAGGGAATTTACACAGATTAATTCTCGCCTCTCTCTCTGTAAAGTATTTGTCTCGCCTAAGCTCCAGTAATATTAGTTATTATACACACTCTGTCTCTCTCTCTCTCTCTCTCTTACTCGCACGTCTTTTCACGTTTTAATAAAGCATCTACTCTTTCCGTCTCACTCGTGAACCCGAGACGTGCTAGCTAGCTCTCGCGACATAAAGCAAAAGCTCCGCAGCTGTGTGTCTGTGTCTGTGTGTTACACGGGCGCGAAAAGTAAATTCCTGGCATATTGTCGTCGTCGTCGCTCGGCAGTCGCTCTTCAACGACCCCCTGACTCTCTGCGCGCGACCCTGCTAACAAGCTTCTTTTCTCTTTCTGCCAGCGTCGCGTCGTGTGGCTGTGCGAGAGAGAGAGAGAGAAAACTCGTCGCGATTATTTTGTTTGCTCTCTAGCTAGCTAGAGCTTGGCGCGCTGCTGTGCATACCTTTATGTGTGCAGGCTCTTGTCTCACTCACTCACTCACTCTCTGCGAAGGGTTCTCGTATCTTTAAATGTGAGGGACTCTCTCGGCCGTTTTGTTATCGTAAGCTTTGCTGTTTTCCTCCTCTCCTCGTGCAGCTGTAGTAAACTTGTATACACACGTCTCGCGATAATGAGATTTTTTTTTCTTCGCTCTTTTATAGTACGGCGTTTGGTCCTTGCCCCGCGCGCGATGCAAATCGGAAGCGCGAGCGTCGTCGGAAAATAGAGAGATAAGAAAACTTCATTTTTTCTTCATCCTCTTCCTGCTGCTTTGCTACTTACTACTACTACTTATACTAGCTACGGCGAGAAGAGAGTAATGCACTTTCGACGCGTATAGTACATGTGTGTATAAGATGAATGCAATCAAATGAGTGCGATGCCGTATAAGTTTCTCTGTTAAACAAAGTTTATTTATTATAACGACTAAAATCGCTAAATAATTATACAATATTTACAAAATTACCTGTTGAACAAAGAAACGACGATTAAGCTCAAATGCCTCACGCTTCTATTTACTCTGTATACAAATATTCAACTGATCGCTTCTAAGTTTAACGGGTAAGTACCAACATCGCTCTTCTCCTTCCATACACGCTACATCTCAAGCGCGCACGCTCACACGCGAAAGAAATATCAATTTCTTTACATGTATATAAGTTCGAGAAATTGTGTCCTCTACTTTTTTCCTCCGTCTCTCTCTCTCTTTCTCTCTCTCTTTCTTCATTTTCTTTTTCACGGTTATTAGCATTATAATCGACTCGAAAGTCAAGCTCAAGTTAACAAAGAACGATACGATCCTCTCTCTTTTTCCTCGCTTTACTCGAAGGATCGTGTCGCGTGTTCTCTCGGCGAAACGAGTCAGCTCGCATTATATACATTACGAGTTGTATCGTATAAATGAAATTAAAAGTTTTTCTTTTTAGACGTTCTTTTCTTAGTTTCGTTTCGAGAGTCGTCGACCGTCGTCGTCCTTCCCCGAACACGATAATAAAATCATCGTCGCCGTCGTCGTTGTCATCGTCTCAAAACGGAGAAGCGCACACGAGGGGGTAGTAATGGTAGTAGAAAACAAAGGAAATTCGTATATATATTTTATATATATATAGGACAACTGCTTTTTGGTTGACTTACTTCGGGAATATCTTTTTCCTCCTCCTCGGCGACGCAGTCATCGAGATACGACACGGCGAGGACGATTACCACCGCTACACTCCTTGCGGCGGCAGCGGTACATTTAAGAGAGAGAGACAGTCAGCGGCGTGTATTTTTTTTCTCTCTCTCTCTGCTTCTTATACTGCTTTTCTCCCCCTCGTGTCGTCTCTCTCTCGCTCACTCCGATTTGTTTTGTATGTATACAGATGTATCACTATTATAATACACACACACACACACGAGCTTTCCTTCGGCGGCGTGATATATGCTACACGACACTAGTCTCGTGGGTACACTTTAGACACACAGAAAAAAGAATCAAAACAACGAAACGCAAAAAAAGAAGCGTACAGACACCAGCAGCAGCCGAGAGCACGCGGGAATCTCTCACTCCTCTCTATATAGCTGCACCAACGACTTCGTGTACGTGTGTAATTCGCGTCACCGACACACAGACACAGATAGATAGATAGATAGATAGACGGCAGGGAAATTTAGGCCGTCGCGGTTCACTCTCAACGACGCGTATGTGTGTATGTGTAGATGTGTCACACGTATATTATATATAATGTAAAACCACCTACGTGTACGTGCGCTCGTATACACGCGTTTTTATGTTCGCGTCTACATCATCGTATAGATATATGCTATACGTGTGTGCTGCTGCCCCCGTCGTCGTCGTCGTCGTCGTCGTCGGCGCGCGTTACATACGTCACACGACACGAGACACAATCGACGAAAAAAAAAAAAAAAAAGAAGAGAGCGAGACAGAGGCAAAAGAGACGGGCAGCAGAAATCAGAGTGCGGCACTACTACTACTCGCACGTATCACACACTCGCGGATAATAATGATGATAATAATGATCGACGACGACACATGCTCGGCGCACTCGAGACACTGCGGAGGGTTATTGCACTATAGCTGCACGTATATATATATATATTTATAATGCAGCAGCACGACGCACACACACACACTCGCACTCGCACTCAATAATAAATAACGCGCAGCCGAAAGCTTGAATAATTCGGTGCAAAATTGTTATTATATGGTCGTCGAGGCTCACCGACCGACTGACCGACTATAATATCGTGAAATAAATGATACACACTCGGCGGCGGCTCGGCTCGGCTCGGCTCCGAGGCTATATAGCTGGTGACGACGAGCTGGCACGAGCGCGCGCGAAAAAGCTCCGAGCCCGACTGACTGCTTGGTCGGTTGGCCAACGGCACACGAGAGTCGCCGAAGTGTGCTCTCTGCTGCTGCCTCTGTCTGCTTTCTCTCAGTGTATATATGTCTGCGTGTGGCGCTGGTATATGGTAGTAGTTTAGTTGCAGGCAGGCAGGCAGCGGCGGCGGCGACAACCAGTCAGCCAGCGGGAGCAAGTAGTATAGTCGTTGTGAAAGCAGACCCAACGCTGCTGCGCTGCCGTCGCCGTCGGTAGAAGCTAGAGCTTGCGCGCGCGCGCAAGCCAGCCGAGCCGAGCTTTTACTCGTACTACTACTACTACTGCCGTTCCTGCTACTATCCAGCAAACTTCCCCGTTTAAAGCTTCGCCTCCACTGGTCTGCGTGGAAATTCGGCTTGCTCTCGTACGCGATATTTAACCGTATCTCTTGACGGCAAGCTCGATGCGATGATTCGGGAAAAGCTCCATTATCGCTCGAAAAATTCCAGAAAAGCTCGTGTAGTCGATGCCAACTCGTCGCTCGTACATCGATCCGACACGATATAACCTAAGCTCGCTCGAATAGTGGAAAAGGCATCGGCGCCTCGCATCCAACACGCACGCACGCCGCCGCCGGCGACGCACAGGAGCGACAGGAGGGGGGACAGAGCGCGCAGGCAGGCAAGCGCGGGAGGCAAGCCGGTAAGCAAGCTCCACAACACGAACGAAGCTTTCGTGTGTGCTTGCGCGTATGTGTGTATAAGTGTGTTGGTGGTGCTGCTGCTGCTGTTCGCTCGCTCGCTCGCTCGGGGTGGTTGGTCGGTCGGTCGGTTGGCCGGGAGATCGATAGCATAAGCGCGGAGCGCGAGAGAAAGAGAAAGAGAGTATCGCATAGCCTCTATTTGGCTGCTCGCGCGCGCTCGGCGCACTGTGTCACTGCGGGGACCGACGCGACATATACATATATATAAAAGTATACATGTACGTGGAACGTAAAGCAGCATCCTTACGCGTAGGCAGTCAGACAGACACGGCTGCTACGACTTACGAGATGTGTATATGTATTTAAGGCGAACTCTATATCTCGAGGATAGCTCGCGTGCGCCCGACGATGCGTACGCTGCAGTCGTTGTGTGCTTGCGCGAGCTTTACTTATACTCGCATATATATTTTGCTATCATTACCGCGCGCGCGTGTATACAAGTACTCGAATGCCTCGTGCGCGTCGACCTCTGCTACAGTACTCTGCCTGCCGCCTGTGCTGCAGCATACGTATATACGTACATATATAACAAATTGCCGAGCGAGAGAGAGAGAGAGAGAAACGAACGTAATAAACGAGAAAATTAGGCAACGCGATTACGTTAACGTGTACACGGATGTGGGTGACTGGGTCACAGCAATTAGTTGGGGGTACTACATATATTCGATTGATCTTTTTTTCTTTTTTTGCCCTCTTTCTCTCTTTCAGCCCCTTTTGTTTTTTGTTCTACCGCTCGTTTCGTTCGACTATCCTCTTTATCCTCTATGCGCCTCTCTCTCTCTCTCCTCGAAATTATGCACTGAACCGAAGTGCGCGCATCCCTTCTAAATAGAGATAGGCGATTTATCGGCCGTCGAGCACAGGTACACACACACACACACACACACATTCGTCACGACGATTCGCAATTGCACACGACTCTCCTCTTTTTTTAGCTTCTCTCTACGTACACGTATATCCACTGCTGCATCGTATACGCGAATCGCGTGTAATCGAATTTGGGGGGNGGGGGGGGGGGGGGGGGGGGGTTGAGGCTGTGTATAGGCTTTTTCACGGCGAGATTATGTATGTATGTATGTATGTAGCTGCGTGAAACGAGAGAAACTCCAAATAAACCCGTCATCGCGCGCTTCGCACAGAGAGCCTGATAATATTGACTTTTCGCATTACCGAGCGCGCGTATATATACATGTACATATACACAAATATATAAATGTGAAAAGCCAACGTCGTAACGAGATCTGCGCGGATGTAGATGCGGAAAACGTAAACGGAGCTTGCAGCCTTAGAGCAGCAGCAGCAGCAGCAACACCAAAACTATTAAAACGTATAAAACACGATTTTCTCGTCTCTCTCTTTTTTTTCTTGCTCATCTTTCATTGCCACTCTTGGGCTGCTATAAGAGATTCTCTCTCTCTCTCTCTCTCTCGTGTTACACCTGTTGGTTTTTGATCGCGACAAATATACAGACGATAGCGAGAGAGAGAGAGGAACATCTTCAACCTCTTACTCGCTGAATTTTTTAAAGCTCTCGGCTCTCATCGGAAAGGTGAATTGTAGGAGAGGTTTAAGGTAAAAAAGCTCCCGAGCGTCATATATCCAAAGAGAGAGAGAGATGAGAAATTTCAAACGTTGGTATATACGAAAGAGGATTAGTACTTGCGTCATCGTCAGCGAAAAGCCGCGCGCGCGAGAGCAGCAAGAGGAAGTAGTGATTCACACACACAGCAGTGTAACAGCCTGTGTGTTCATATATATTGTAAAGAGTTAATTAAGTAATTTTAACCGACGTTCAAGCTCTCGACTCGGCGAAGAGATCGCAAAAGATCAAAAGCCGAGAGAGGCAGAGAGAGAGAAGAATTCGATGAGTCTGCAGGGAAATTTAATTTATGTAAAGCGTGTATATACGTGAAAGGCGATGTAGCGCAGCAAAGGCTGCCGCCAGGAGATTTATTTAAAAGCCAATTCGCGTATTATTATTTTTCCGACGTGTACGCGCGGGAGGTTCGTTTCTTTTCTTTTTTTACTTTTCTTTCCTTTTTCGAAAAAAAAAGAGAGAGAGGAAAAAGAAGAAAGGAAAATAAGCAGATGGAAAAATCGATGAACCCGCGCGCACACGGTATATATGTATATAAGTACATACGCGTAAAAAGGGTTGAGACTCGAGAGCGAGCGAGCGAGAGACAGATCCCACACACACACAGACAGACATACATAGACAGACGGCAAAAGAGATCGGCCAGAAGAAAAGATGCGAGAAGAGTATGGAGGTAGAGAAAGAAGAAGAAAGAAAGGGGGACGCGGCGAATTTAAAAAGTGTCGATTTCCGTCAGGCGCGCATCTGCAACCCTGGCTATATAACTACTGCTACCGTATACATATGGCACACACTGAGAGAGCAGCTACATAGCTCGAGCGACTCGCGACTCGACTCTCTCTGCTACTGTGTGTGTGTCTATATACTGTGCGCGAGCGTCTGCATCATCTGCTGCGCGCGCTCAAGAGAGCGAGAGAAAAACGCTTATCGACGGTAAATTTAACCTGACGGTTTTTTAGCTTTTTTTTCTCTCTGTCTTCTTTTTTTTTGTTATACACCTATGTGTGTGTATAAAGAAAAGTGGAAAAGGGTACGAAAAAAAAATCTGCCACGCGTGTGTTGGCACGATATATCGCGTACACAACAGACACACACACACGTGTATATGTATTACGACTGACACAAAAAGGAAATTTCCCTCTTACTTTTTCCAGTCTCGCGAAGCTGCCGCTGCTGCTGCTTTTCTTCGGCTCTGTAAAAAGCCGTGGCCCGATTTCTTTCTTTTTTTCCTCTCTTCTTCTTTTTTTCGCGAATGCATATATTGTGTGTATTTAATATGCGCGAAAAGGGAGTGATGCGCGAGCCCGGAAAACGGCATTATAAAGTATAAAGCTCGAATCCGGTTAATAACGTCTTAGGCGCAATTGAAATGTATATAAAAACTTGTATACTTACTTTTCGAAGCGCATCTCTCGCGAGACAGAGAGAGAGGATATACATATACGATTTTTCGATTGCGCAGCAGAGCCGAGGGAGGATGAGGAATTAAAAAATAAAACGGATTGTATACCAACGTCAGAAGCTGAGCCGTACGGTAGAGGAGATTAAAAGGAAACGTTATAATGTATTATATATAAAACCTCGTTGAAAAGCCTAAACTCTCTTCTTTGCTTCTGCTTATACTGCTGGTGCTGCAGTTGCTGCTGAATGAAAATGAAAAATAAAAAAAAAAGAAGCATAGGACAATAAAAGGAGCCCCGGATGAAAGCAGCACGAAGAAATCGAGCCGCTCGCGCGCGCGGCAGGCTAAAGTAAACGAATTTTCGCAGCCAGGGGCCACTTTTCACTAAAACTTGTATGTTATTCCGTACACATTGGCAACTTTTTGCGAGGGAGGAAGGGGAAAGGCGGTAAAATAGAAGAGAAGCAAGCAACTTCGGAAAATAGTACACCTCGATCTCCTTTGGCGCGCGCGCGTGGAAAGAAATAAAAAAAAATATCGCAATCGAGGAAGTTCGGGAAAAGAAAATTTCTCAATTTTTTAGTATACGTCATCTATCTAGGATATACTTTGGTATACGTACATACAGATACGCGAGAAGCCAAAAACATACAGTCGGTGAGAACGAGGGAAGAAAAAAGAACTTATATAGAAAAACTGTCGTTGAGCGAGAGATCCGATCAAACGTAATTTAAACATCTCAATATAGCTGCGTGTATAATTTCAACTTTTTCAAGAGAAAAAAAAATGAAACGCCGTATTGCATTACTCACCCGCGAGCTTGCGATACACGATATTTTTTTTTTTTTTTTGGCTTGCGTGCGCCGCGATTATTTAACCGCGAAGAAACACGACGCGAGCAATTTCATAAACGTCTTCTTGCTTACTCTCTCGCGCCTGGCATTATCATTATTATTTCGTGTGTATTATATACCTTGTATATTCCTCGAGGGGGTTTATATTTCGCGCGCGACAAACCACCACCACCATCAGCATCGCGATCAACGCGTCCCGTTTTTTTTTTCTTCGTGAATTTACGTTTCTTGCTGAGGCGATGTAAAGCAAGGCTGAAAATGTCGCTTTATTATCAGCTTCGTCGCGGGATTTCTTACCTCTTCTTCTTCTTTCTTTTTTTTTCTGTGCAGCTTCGATGTGTCACGACGATTATTCTTGAAGCGAAGCAATCAATTTTTTTCTCTTTGTATTTTATGTAGAGGTATAGAGAATGAAATAAAACGATTGACACATTGTCGATTCTCTCAGACTTCACTCGTTTATATATTATTGTATTTTAAACAATTTCGAGCGAAAGTTCCATATCTCGTCACGTACAATGATAATAATAATAATAATAATAATAATGATAACGTTGAAAGCTCCGTGACGTCGTGTTCCTGCAGAGATGATCGTCGTCAACGAGGACACTGAGACGGTCTGACGCATCTGCCTTGGTTATTTTTCACGTAGCCATTGTTGCAGTAACAGGTCGGCTTGTCGGGGCAGGACTGTAACAGAAGAGAGAGAAAAATGATCTCTCATTAGCCTTTTCTCGAGTATATAGTACGGCCGGCGCGTCGACTGAATTCCAAATGCGCCGCCGCGTTGGAACGATTTAATGAATTGTTAGGTTTTTGCGTATGGTACTCACGATCGCTTGGCAGGTCGGTCCGGTCGGATTGCGGCACGTTCGCGGACAGATGGTGCCGCATCTCGAGTAATGCGAGCCGGCCGGACATCTTATCGGATCGGCGGCTTCTGCAAAATGACGTCAACGGAAAAACATGATAAAAGTTCGTTAAAAAGTGATATTAAAATCATTTTTAAAATCATTCAGCAGCTGTGTAATTATAGCTGATTGCGAATATGTATCGATGACTTTTGATTGACAGTAGGTGATTGATTAAGCTATAACGAAACGTTTATTAGCTCATCTGTGCTTCTTTGTATGGTGGTAACTTGCAAAATAGCATGAAGCCATCTAGCGGTTGGTCACGGCACTAGGTGTTAGGTATATCGAATTTTCGTGTACGAATTGCTGCGAAACTTTTTTTTGGTCAAATCATCATGCTTCTGAGAACGTATCAGCGAATTATCGGCAGTCTGCGACGACTCGAAGCACAAGTCACATCGAAAGAGCCAACTCATTTGTTTGAAGAGTTCAGTATCAACGACAAATATAGCAACCACCTTAGAACACGATGCGAATCCGAAAGATTTTCGGACCATGAGCGAGTTATAAACTGTTCTTTGCTTCTTTGTATGGTGGTAACTTGCAAACTAGCATGAAGCCATCTAGCGGTCGGTCACGGTACTAGGCGTTCGTCTTTCGAATTTTTAGAGCGCTCCGAAGCAAATAATTTCTTTTGAAGCTGTTATCTTAAGCATAATCAATAGGGTCTAAGAAAGAAAAACAGAGTTCTACTGCGTCGAAAAATTGATTAATAACGATTAGAACGATTTTAAAACGAATAATAAATTTGTAAATTCGCGAAGGAACGGGGAGCGGGGTATGTAGGATACTGGCTTTGCCCGTTACTCTTCTCTAGGTTTTCTGCCGTCGAATCGATGAATGATGTTAAACTCGGTTTTTTAATAATAACAATATTAACAATTTAATATTTGAAAACATAGGTATATATACAAAAAAAGAGTAACAAAATCTTAGTGTGAAAGTCGATGCTATAGGATCGAGAAGTTACCGCCTGCTCTGAGCGCGCGTATACTTTTCCAACTGTATCTTAGCGCGAGCCAAGATGTTGCCAACGACACATACGCGATCTTACCGCTGAGAATGCGCGATTGACGAAGGTTTACATTCAAACATAAAACGAACATACACGAGCGAACAAAATTACTTCCAATAATTAACGAATAGATAAACGAATAATGGATTTCTACTTATGAAAAAAAAATTTTGTTGCGAGTTCACACTACTCCGTCTGTCGATGAAATCAAAAAGCTCATAACCGAATATAACGCCTTTGATTACGATAAATCTTGTTGCAATATCAAACGAATTTTGGTACATCAATGCTTAAATTTTTCTTTAAAAAATGCAACTAATTTTTAAAATCTGTTAAAAGCGAAACGTTAACAAAATTAGAAAAAAAAGGCACATAGTTTGTTTCAAAAAATACAATTGGTAAATTATACTTCAAAAGTACACATTAATACGTGCTAATGCGCATTTACGCGTCGATGCATAGAGCATAACGGTCCCTATCGAGTCTATCCACAACTACAATTACCGCGTTAACTCGGTTTTTTTTTTGCAGAATCGAAGGAAGTTTCACTATACCCAAAAATCCAACACCGAACGAGAAGAATTGCTTTTTTGGGGGGATAAAACAATGTGTAATTCGGACGAACGTATGACGTAAAAAAAAAGAGAGAAAGAAAGAAAACTAGAAATAGCAATTGAAAATTTCTATTCAATCGGTTTTAACGAACTTACGGGCGTAACAAGCGCACACGGCGGCCACCAGCAGCAGGCACAAAGCGACGTTTTTCATTATATATAGCAGCGGAGCGAAACACGACTATGTGTACACTGTGCCCGATCCCCGTCGCAAATCCGTCTTTTGTAGTAATTTTGAAACGCGAAAATTTCTCTCTCTCTCTCTTTCTCCTTTGCATTTCAGCGTACGCGATAAGACACGCATAATATATAATTCATCATCGTCGTCATCGCGTTGTGTTTCTTTCGGCGCTCGGGTAAATATTACACCGAAGAAAAATATAAATAAGCTTATACACCTTTTCCTCGTTAGCGCCCGATTTTCCTACTTCATTAATAAGCCGTGCTCGCTACGATACGATAATTTCCTTCTTTATTCGTTATCGCGTTTGTCGCTGCTGCTGCTGCTGCTGCTCAGAGAGAAAGATAGAGAGGAATATTTTTAATTACACCGATTGCCTTGGAGCTTTTGCGCCTTTCAAACAGACGCAGTAAGAGAGAGAGAGAAAGAGCACGAATATATTTTTCATGAAATATTCCTTCATCCGTCCATCTCTATCTCTCTCTCTATCTCGGTGCAATATATACTCGCTCGGATTACACAAAGAGGCTCGCGCGCGACGATGACGGCTTTCAAGAGCTAAGCTAATTTTTTTTGCGCCAAAGTTTACTCGGAACTCGTAACACAGAAGCAGCAACGGAGGAGGAGTAGGAAAAAAAAGGCAGGAAAAAGATCGCCCGAGTCCTTTTTAAAAATGTGTATACGCAAGAAGAAGAAAACGGGGAAAAATATCGTATCCGCGATCCTTGTACGCGTCGTTTGTTTTTCCTTGTGCGTAGGTGTACGATTTACGTGCGTAACGTTCGATACATCGTGACCATATAGGTATAAAAATACCACGCGAACGAAAATATACAGTACGTATTGTGCCGCTCACGTGTTTCGAGGATATAAAAGGCGCACAGCGACGCATCCCCGCGTTGGCGTGTGTGTACTGTGTGTATGCCGCTCGACTTTTAATTTAGTGGCTCTTACTCACGAGAGAGAAACGTTTTCATCGATTTCGTATTATACAGCGGCAGAAAATTCAGAGAGAACAAAACGATGCCGATGTTGTTCTTGCTGCTGCTGCTGCTGCTGCTGCTCTCGATTATATTATACATGCGTATATAAAAGGTATATATAGTTTACAACGGAGAGGAGGGGAGCTGTGGGAGTATACACAGCGGACGGGAGAGAAAATATAAATAACGAATTCGTTGGCATGAATATTCATAATACGGCGAGATGTTTGTGTGTATATATATCGTTTATTGAAAATGAAATACATATCAATTTCTGCGGATTTATGTAGCGCGGCGCAATTGTGTATTCGTTGCATACATTATTAACGCGTGTATACGTATAGACTATTTATGCGAAAAATAAAAATAAAAAACGAGAGTGAGTCGAGACGGAGCTCAACTTATATTGAAAAATGTGATAGACAGAATTGATACGATATTCACGAAGGAAAAATAATGGTAATAATTTAGCAATGCGACGGCTTGACGCATTTATTCTGGCGATTCAATACGTATCCGCTGTCGCACCAGCACCTCGGCGTCTCGGGACAGATCTGCACGACGGAAAAACAACAATAACGACAAAATTAATCATACAAAAATTAGATGATGTTTTTTTTTTAATGTTTGTTCGTACCAGCGCCTGACAAGTCAGTGCAGCTCGGGCCGTTCTCGGCCGACATCTCGCCGGGCATGCGCTGCCGCACTCGGAGTAGTGCGAGCCAGTCTGACACCGGATCGGATCCGCGGCTGCTCCGGCTGTCGCTGCGATGATTTTCGGAGGATCAACGAATATAATCATTCGAATACGAGCGTCTATGTATATCGATCCCGTCGGTAAATATATAATAATAGCGAATCACTCACCGACGATGCAGTAAATCAAGGCGAGCGATAGAGCGAAATAATGTTTCTTGTCTATCATTTCGTCGATGTTTTCGTTTATAATGTATATACCACTGTACAACTAGCGTATATGTATTTTGTTTATATTATTATGACGTTCTCGCACGCGAAATGATATACGTGAAACGTTGCGCTCATATACACGTTCTTCCGTCCGCAATTTGACTGGCATAAATAAAGATATATTTTAACGCTCGCCTGGGCATTACACGCATACACACACACATACACAATATGCATGTATGATAAACGCTATATAACAATCATAAAGATACGATCTAATTTTTCCTCGTTTTCACGTACATACGTACAAAAATTCCTCCTCCTCCCACCTACCACTACTCCGGCGACGACGAAACGAACTACATTCGCAAAAAGTATATGATATCTCTCTCTCTCTTTGGCGCTGCTCCCCCGACACAATGATATTTGTTTTTCACACATGTTGGCTTCATGCGCCACTTTTTTTTTTATTTTTATATACGCGGAGCACAAATCGAGCCCTTATACCGCGGCGCTTACTTACTTTTATACACTGTGTATGTATATAAAAAATAGGCTTCTCTCGAGGCGCGCGTGCTTCGAGGAAATAAAAAAACTTTGTTTTTCTTCGACTGCTGCGCGGCGTCGTTTTACAACATCGATTTTCTATTATTTTCAGGTTAATCGCGCGGAACTGCATTACACATATAAACGTGCTGTATGCAGTGGGTGTGAATGATTTTTATACTGCACCTATCCATATGCGTATTTCGACACCAATTATACACGCGTAGAGAGAAAAGACGGATAGAAGGCGAGAGCAAAAAAAAAGGGGGGAAATAAATAAAAAATTGTCACCAGCTCGCGGAGAGAGACCGAGAGAGAGCTTTCTCGGCATATTATTGGCAGCGAGCTTTGCCGCGCGCCACGGAGCTTTTTTTGCCCTCGCGCGGATGCACTTAAACTTTTCAATTTCCATTTTGCAGCAGCACAGCTCTCGCAACTTCGCATTAATCTTCTTTCTCTGTCTCTCTGTCTCTCTCTCTCACTTTTTTCCTGCGTGTCGAAAGTGTCGTAGCAGCTACTATAAGCGCGTGAGAAAGCGAGAGAACTACTAGCTGCTGCTGTTTTACAAACGCACGGCGACACAACTGCGACGACGCGTGCCGTTTCTCGTTAGAGAATTAAGCTTATACACTACGCCAGCAGGAAAAAAGAAGTTGGCAATTATCAGCTCGACGTATATATATAAAGGCGCCTTTTGTGCGTGTATAGTCAGTACGACGACGACGCGTTGAACGACGAGGTGCGACGTGCGAAGAATACTACTATATACGCTATATACAAAACAGCTCGATGCAGCTCACGCAATTTTATATCGAATTAATCGTTGCGAATCTACTATATACGTAATACAGTTACAGACAGTCAGGGGGGAGTACGACGCGCGATAAAGCAGCTGCTAACTCGGAGAGGCAATCTGGACCGCTCGCAAGCTCGCAAGCTCGCGATACATAAGAGCACTACTCATGAGGGAAATCAACGTCGTAATGTATAATACACGCACACACATCGAAAACTTTGCTACGCTCTTACATTTTCTTCGGAATTGCGCGATATATAATAACAACAATAATAATAACGATAGCGATATCCTTGTGTACAAAGGAGGAGAAGTAATCTTGCCAATTTATCACTCGATCGTGCGGGGGGATGCACCTGCGTATATATAAGCCGACGCGTGCATGTATAGCCGCTTTAATACGTGTATATAAAGCGTCGCGCAAAGGATCGATGCGTTATATTACAGGATATATCACGCGTAAATACTTGACGCGTGCATAATACGTCTTATATACGCGACACGCGACGACGAGGGCTTAGATAACGCAGACGAGGCAAAAGTGACGCCGATTATTTGAATCGTCTATGTGAGCAATTCCAGAATTTATACTTAATTCTTGAAGGTTCGAGAGAGCAAAGATTTCAATAATATTTCTTGGCGAAATATTATGTTATTTTTTTAATGAAAAGTATTGTTATTTTTTGACGTTCTAGAGTGTTTGGCATGTCTGCAATCACTATCCTCGCACTTCCCTCGACTTCTTGACATGAAAAACTCAATAGTAAAAATCTCACACCTTTCGCATGAATGACATCCAAAAGGTACTTCACATAAAAAGAATCATTTTATTTTGCAGTTTTTTCTTTATTAAAGACGTAAAAAGAATCGAACATTTTCTTTATTTGATATTAGTAAAAATTAATAAATAAATAAAATCAAATTCTTCAAATTTGTGTTTTAAAAAAGTCTGTAAATATTTTCGATCATAAGTTATCATCATTTAAATTTTGAGGAAAAAGGGGATCTTTGAATGATTTATTTAAAATTAAGTTATATCATTAAAATGTATGACTACATAAAATATGTATAAAAAAATAATGAAAAACTCTGATAAGTATAAACATTTTTTCAAATTTCACACTTAATAATCTTAAATATATTAGTCTGGTCACAAGTATTGACCATGTAATGTAATTGTTGGCAAGTTTGGTACTTGATGAATTGTCACCAATATGAAATTAATTGATTTGTTATTAAGAACGTTTTGTTGAGACTCGAAGTTTTTATATTTTTACTGTCAGCTCGTTTATGAGCGGTCAAATAAATACATCCATTCGCTCATGTCACGCGTGTAAGGTGGATGAAATTAGTCACTATTGCGTAACCATTCATTGCACTTGTTCGAAAAGCAGTCAAAGATTCATTTTTACACTATTTTTTTGAAACATCTTTTCAAACTTCGTGTATTGTCTTTTGGTGTAATAGCATATGCTGTTTATGTCCAAATTTTTTCTCTTTACATACGTATGAGCAAAATATGTTTAGTATCAAATCTCGCACTAGTCGCACGGATCATCTTTTTGACCTTTATGGGCTGTCTTTTTGTGGTAAAGCAAACTCGGTTTATGTGCAAATTTCTTCTCACACTTGTCACATGCGATATCTTTACGACCCTCATGAACTGTCCTTCGATGTTTTAGTAAATACTGTTTATGTGCAAATTTTTTCTCGCACTTGTCGCATGCGTAATCTCTGCGACTTTCGTGCATGGTTTTTTGGTGTTTTCTTAAATTGCCTTGAAGCCCAAATTTCTTCTCGCATTTGTCGCATGCGTGATCTTTTTTACCTTCATGAACTGTCTTTTGGTGTTCGAGCAACTTCGCTTTTTGTGCAAATTTTTTCCCGCATTTTTCGCATACAAAATCTTTGATACCTTCGTGCACCGTCTTTTGGTGGATAAGCAAATGAACTTTCTGTCCAAATTTCTTCTGGCATTTGCCACATGCGAAATCCTTGCGACCTTCGTGTACTGTCTGTTGGTGGATGAGCATATCCGTTTTTGCTCCAAATTTCCGCTCGCACTCGTCGCAAGTGAAATTTTTCTGACCTTCATGGATTACTTTTTGATGGGAACGCAAATTCCATTTGAGACCAAATACCTTTTCGCACTTGTCACATGCGTAATCTTTACAACCGTCGTGTACTGTCTTTTGATGTCTGATTAATTTCGATTTATCTACAAATTTCTGTTCACACTTATCGCACGAAAAATCTCTACGCATTTCATGGATTGTCTTTTCATGTTTGGTCAAATCGCAATGATCTTCAAATTTTTTCTTGCACTTGTTGCTTTCAAAATTCACCGGATCCTTGTGGGCTCTCGTGATGTGCAAAAGCAAATTCTGTTTATTTCCAAACCTCTTTGCACATTTTTCACATAAATAATCTTTGAAAACTTCATGGAATATTTTGTTGTGCTTAAGTAAAGTTGATTTATTTTCAAATTTCCTCTCGCACTTGTTGCATGAGTAATTTTTGAAATCTTTGTGAACTAATTTTTGGTGCGTAAACAAACTAGTTTTTTTCACGAATTTTTTCTCGCACTTGTCGCATGCAAAATCTTTGCGGCCGTTGTGTACTGATATTTGGTGTCTACTCAAATGACTTCGGAACTCAAATTTTTTTTCGCACTTAGCGCATGCGTAGCCTTTTTTTTCATTGTGAATTGTGTTTCGGTGTGTTACAATGTTTAATTCTAGTGTAAATGCTTCTTGACGGGTATCACAAACGTAATTTTCGTCACTTGAATTATTCGAGACAACTTCCTCGAATTTCTTCTCACTTTTATTCATTTTGGTGCCTAAATGATGGATCCTTCTATTTAGCATGGAAATTTAAGAAGTAAAACTTATCTGTTGATATTCTGCCTTTCTTTGTCGAGACAATACTCATACTGATTTGTTTGACTATAAACATTTTCAGCTAACAAGAAACCGATGTCAAGATTGTGTTTATTTGACACAATTGAGACACGAATTTATCTGTTCATATTTTAATATGTTACAATTAAATAAACTTAAATTAATCATAAAAATAAATGTGTTGTACTGATATAAGCACGTTTTTATAAATAAAACATTTCATGAAAATGAAATTGCTTCCTCATAGAGGAAGCTTTGTGATAGGCTCCATTTCGGCTTTTTTATAGAGTAATCGTAGGGTATATTTAATGATATTTCTATATACTAGATCGAATTTCTGACACATGTTGGTATGTATGTGTGTGTGTGTGTGTGTGTGTGTGTGTGTGTGTGTGTGTGTGTGTGTGTGTGTGTGTGTGTGTGTGTGTGTGTGTGTGTGTGTGTGTGTGTGTGTGTGTGTGTGTGTGTGTGTGTGTGTGTGTGTGTGTGTGTGTGTGTGTGTGTGTGTGTGTGTGTGTGTGTGTGTGTGTGTGTGTGTGTGTGTGTGTGTGTGTGTGTGTGTGTGTGTGTGTGTGTGTGTGTGTGTGTGTGTGTGTGTGTGTGTGTGTGTGTGTGTGTGTGTGTGTGTGTGTGTGTGTGTGTGTGTGTGTGTGTGTGTGTGTGTGTGTGTGTNATAGGAAGTTTTGTGATGGGATACATTTAGGCTTTCGTATATAATTATCGTAGGATATATTTAATGATATTTCTATATACTAGATCGAATTTTTGACACATTTTGGAATGTATGTGGGTGTATGCGGCTGTATGGCTGTGTAGAGTGATTCCTTGATAACGGTAGCACGTATCGTGACGGGGGAGGGCTTATTTTTTTCGTTATGACATAGGGACGAAGCCAGAAAAATTCATTTATCGATAAACGTAACGTTTTTTTTTCTATTTAAGAAAAAAATTTTTTTTTTTTTGCATTGTTTGTTTGAGATACCCGATAAAGCTGAGAGGCGCTTTCGTTTCGCTTTCGTAATTAGAAAGATGATATTAATATTTTCAAATTATTTTTAAGTTAAAAAAAAAGTATGAGGAAGCTACTTGCCAATACATTGGCAGCGGTTTTTGAATATTGAGTGTCTTGTCGATTACATTATAATCGCTTTTCAATGACGGGTCTCTTCTCGGTTTCTCTTTCACGATGAAATAACACAAAATACGATTAATTATCATGCTATTATATTTTTATATTTTATTTTTGTTATAATGACAATTATCTGGCCACACTGTGTAAAATAACCCAGGAATCAATCTTCCTCACTATGACTTAGGATAGATTATTAATCTCTCAAGGATTTACAATAACTAATTTGAGATCAATTTAATTGTATTTACAAATCATGATTTGAAAAAAACTCAAAAAATGTGTATTATTAATAACTGTAACTACGCTCGATTCGAATTGAAAAGCAAACCAAAGAGAAAAAACCGATCACTATTCGCATTAATGATATCCAAAAAGTACATCACGTATAAAATAATTATTTCATTTTCAGTTTTTTTATTTATTGCAGATAAAAAGGCGAATATTTTATTCAATTAATATTATTCAAAAAAATATAAATAAATAACATTTGAAATCTTCAATTATGTATTTGAAAAGAGGCTGCAGTTACTTCTGATAATAATTTGTCATCGTTTAACTTTGGGGAACGAGTGGGTTATCAAATTGTCAAAATACTTTAAACTTCAGATCTTAAATCTTTATTAGATCAATCAGATTATAGTTAAATCTTTCAATTAGATTATAGTTAAATCTCTCAATTAGATTAGAATTAAATAATACATTTTTTATAAAAAAATTCATTATAAGTTTAGTAATATTATAATAATTCATGAATACATGAATACACAAGTATATTAATCCGGTCACAAGTATTGACCATTAAAAATACCCTTCTTGGCCAATTTGATATTTGATGAGTTGTTACTATGAAATATAATATGAAATTCATTGATTTGTTATTCGGCACGTTTTATTGAAACTCGAAGTTTTTACATTATTACTGTCAGCTCTTTTATATGCGGTCAAATAAATACGTCTATTTACCCATATCACGCCTGTGAGATGGATGAAGCTGGTCACCGTTGCGTACCATTCATTGCACTTGTTCGAAAAGTAGTCAAAGATTGATTTTTATTATTTTTTTTTTTTTCAAACATCTTTTCAAACTTTGTGTATTGTCTTTTGGTGTAATAGCATATGCTGTTTACGTCCAAATTTTTTCTCGCATTTCTCGCAAGTAAAATCTTTGCGACCTTCATGGACTGTCCTTTTGTGCTGAATCATAACCCATTTGTAACAAAATTTTTTCTCGCACTTGTCGCATGCGTAATCTCTGCGACTTTCGTGCACGGTTTTTTGGTGTTTTATTAAATTGCCTTGAAGCCCAAATTTCTTCTCGCATTTGTCGCATGCGTGATCTTTTCCACCTTCATGAATTGTCTTTTGGTGTGAGAGCAACTTCGCTTTTTGTGCAAATTTTTTCCCGCATTTTTCGCATACAAAATCTTTGATACCTTCGTGCACCGTCTTTTGGTGGTAAAGCAAACTCGGTTTTTGGCTAAATTTCTTCTCGCACTTATCACAAGAATAATCCTTGCGACCTTCATGAACTGTCTTTTGGTGCACAAGCAAATGCGGTTTTTGTCCAAATTTTTTCTCGCACTTGTCGCATGCGTAATCCTTACGACCTTCGTGTAATATCTGTTGGTGTCTTATTAATATTGATTTTTCTCCAAATTTGTACCCGCATTTGTCACACACGTAATCTTTTTCACCGTCATGAACTGTTTTTTGGTGTAAGAACAACTGCGCTTTTCGTGCAAATTTTTTCTCGCATTTTTCGCATACGAAATCTTTAATACCTTCGTGCACCGTCTTTTGGTGATGGAAAAAATGACATTTGCGCCCAAATTTCTTCTCGCACTTGTCGCATGCGTAATCCTTCCGACCTTCGTGTATTGTCTGTTGGTGGATGAGCATATCCCCTTTTGTTCTAAATTTCAGCTCACACTTGTCACATGCGAAATTTTTCCGACCCTCGTGGACTACTTTTTGATGGGAACGCAAATTGCATTTGTAACCAAATACCTTTTCGCACTTGTCACATGCGTAATCCTTGCGACTTTCATGGACTGTTGTTATGTGCATGACTAAATGCGATTCATTTTCAAATTTTTTTCCACACTTGTCGCATACCAAATCTTTCTGACCTTCGTGGACTATTTTTTGGTGTTCACATGAAAAATCTCTGCTCATTTCATCGATTGTTTTTTGGTGTTTGGTCAAACCGCATTGATCCCCAAATTTTTTCTCATACTTATCACTTTTAAAATCTACTGAATTCTCGTGGACTCTCGTGATGTGCAAGAGCAAATTCTGTTTATTTCCAAACCTCTTTGCACATTTTTCACATAAATAATCTTTGAAAACCTCATGGAATATTTTGTTATGCTTAAGTAAAGTTGCTTTATTTTCAAATTTTCTCTCGCACTTGTTGCACGAGAAATCGTCACGACTTTTGTGTACCAACTTTTGATGTGTAAGCAAACTCGATTTTTTCACAAATTTTTTCTCGCATTGATCACATGCAAAATCTTTGCGGTTTTTGTGCACTGATATTTGGTGCCTACTCAAATGACTTCGGAATTCAAATTTTCGATCGCACTTATCACATGCGTAATTGTTTTGTTCATTGTTAATTGTGGCTTGGTGTTTTATCATGTTTGATTCCAGTTTAAATACCTCCTGACAAATATCACAAACGTGTTTTTGGCCGTCTGAAATTTTTTCGTGTTCAGTTATGTAATCCTTTGAGACAGTTTTCTCGAATTTCTTCACACTTTCATCAATTTTGTTGCTCAAATTAAACGATAGATTCTTCTATTTAGTACCACGGAAATTGAATGAGTAAAATTTATTTTCCGATACTCTATCTTGCTTTCTCGTTAAAGACAACACTCAAAGTGGTTCGGCTATAAACATTTTCACCTAACTACAAACGCTGTCAATATACGCTGTCAATATTGCTTATGTTTATTGATTTGGCTTTAATTAAGATACAAATTTATCTATTTTAAGTTGATCTTAAAAATATATTTTCTGTACTGATATAAGCTCGATTTTATAACTAAAAAATGTCATATTATTTAAATGTTCTCTATCACAATGAATTATACAAGAAAAAATTAAAGATGCGAATAGATGTTATCAGTTTTTGCGTAGGCACAGACATGTCTTTATGAGGAATCGGTCTATAAAATATAGGACTTTCGAGTTCATGAAAATCAGAAAAATTAAATGTGAATGGCGGAAAGGGGTTTTCTAATTATATCGCATTTTTTTAAAACCTAGAAGCTCAACTTAATTTTTCTATGTATCAAAACTATGATGTTTTCTCATTTTTCTTATTGCATAGAACTTATTTATTTTGTGTGGTATATTAGCTGAGAAGTTTCAATGAGATTGAGATGAATTAGTAGTTAACGATGAGCTTTATTTTTTCCAAAACATTTATTTCTAAACTTAGACGTTGCTTGTGGATAATAAGATAATTCAAAGCTTGAAGAATTGTACATTAAAATGTTCAGATAAGTCTTTTGATTAAATACATGAAATTGTATATCGTCGTTTTTGGACCAATCGAAATCAAAATTTAAACATTCATAAAGAAATAATTTGTGGCAAGGCAAGCTTAAGTATCACCCATATGTGACAATCTAACGTGTCTATAGAGATTGGTTCGATATAAAAACACCTTTTTGCAAACATCGCACGGATATGTCAAGCCACTATGCCTCGCCCTAATGTGGCCTTCGAGTACATTCTTACGTGTAAAAGTCTTTCCGCAAACATCACATGCGTGTGCGACACGATTGTGCACTATATCGACGTGTAATTTCAGATTATTCTTGTTTGTGAATTTCTTTTGGCAAATATCACAAGTATGGGTGACACCATTATGTACCACATCAATGTGTCTTTCGAGATTACCCTTGGTTGAAAATTTCTTTCTGCATACATCACATGCGTGGGTAACACCATTATGTACCACATCAATGTGTTTTTTGAGATTACCCTTGTCTAAGTATGTCTTTTGGCATATATTACATGCGTGGGTAACACGGTAACAATGATGTATAGCTTTGACATGCCGGATGAGATTGGATCGGACTGAAAATTCCTTTTCGCATATATCGCACACATATTTGACACCTTTATGTGTCGCATCAATGTGTGCTTTCAAAACATTCTTACTTGAATATTTTTTCCCGCACTTATCGCATGCGTGAGTGATACTACGATGCGATGATTCGACGGGCTGATTTAGATGATTTTTTCGAGTTACTGTCTCTTCAAGTGTATCACGTGTTTGGGTGAGTTCATTGTTGCAATGAGGATTCACTTCTTTTTTCATCTCAGTCACGGGTTCTATTTTAATTTTTTTTTTAATTTGATAATCGTTACTGTCATCTTTAGAACAATCCTCAATTTTCTCAACTGCTAATAAATTCTTGCCCAGCTTTACGTCTTCACATTCAAATTCTATTTTTAACTCACTGCCGAGTTTAGAGTTTTCGTCATTTTCTCGAAGCCATGGGGTCTATAAAGGAGTAATATTTGTAAGAACATTTTTTTTTTGTAAATACTTTAAAACACTCACTGAATTATCTCGCAGATATCTTGGAAAATGAATATTTTGGATATTGGGTTTCTCGTCAATTACGTTGTAATCGTTTTCATCAAACGAATCGTCTCGCCGTTCTTTTTTCACTCTGAGTAACACAAAGTACGATTGATTATCATGCTATTATATTTTTTAAATTTATATCCATAAAATGATAATTACCTTACGGCCCAGTTAAAAGCATCACAGGAATACATCTTCCTCGACAAGACAAGACTATACCGACTAACAGAGAGTTCAATTTAATCGTATTAACGAAATTTTTGACGCGCCAATGTAAACATTGATTTGGCAAAACTACGTCTTAGATGTATAATAATATCGAAGAAGTAACAAACGATAAATATTTTTCTGTAAATGGTACTTCATTACGAAGAAAAGTAAAGTTATAAAAATGCGTATAAATAATAACTGCTAACTACCCTCGATTCAACTCGTATATTATTTAAACACACTTGATTTTTACATATTCATCTCGAATAATCATAATTGCTCGAGCTGTACATCCACATATATGCACAGCTATACGATTATTGCACACGCGAACGTGTATGTGTGCGGCGGCGGCTTCATTTGAAATGCTAACGATTCAGCTCCGCAGCTCAGGTACTACGCGCAGTAATAGTATATAAATGTATGTATATGAATGTGTGTGTTTGTGTATATGTGAGCGTAGTTACAACGCGCGCTGCAGTATATATAATAACGCACGAAAGATAACGTTGCTAAGGCTAAAATTAATGTTTTGCCCAGGAACTCTACGTTATATAATGTACGTGTATGTGTGCGCACACGGCTCTCTCTCGAAGTAATTTTTCTCTCTCTCTTCTATACCCTCGAGAAAAAATGAGTTTTATAATTTTCAATTTTCATCCCGAGCCGCGCGACGTGTTTATACTCGCAGCTTCTTTTCTCTCTCTCTCTCTCTCTTTTTCCATCGCCGCGTATTCGGAGTTTATTTATAATTTACTCGCCCCCGGAGTTCGTTCATCGTGCACTTAGCGCGATGTATATATATAGAACGGTGGCACTGCACAAAATGAGCGATAGTTTCTGCCAACTATCGTATCTCTCTCTACCCTTTAAAGTCGAGCGCAGGATCCCTCGACACAGTTGTGTACGTATACAGTGTATATGTGTTCATGTATGTGTGCATATGGAATGGGCAAAACGAGCTTCCGTAATGTGCGCTGCAGCTTCACACACATTATATATATAGCGTACGTATAACTCCTTGTACAGCGCATCGGGTCAAAAGTTCGTCACCAGACGCCCTCAAAGCTCGCTCACATTATATACAACTTCGGCCCGACGATTTCTCGCGGGATATATCTCGCGCGCGTAATATACGTAGCGCGTTCAAAAGCACCTGTACATATATACATATACTTACTTACGTAGGCGTTAGAGTCCCGCGTCGTCGTCCGTGCTATCGTCGCGAAATCGCTGATACCGAGCCTGGCTGCTGGCGGGTGCTTTCTCGACGCTGCTGTACGTCTGCCTGTTGTTCGCCGCGTCGTTGATCCCCCGACGGTCCGTCATGGGGATGATCGTGATCTCGTCGGCCGTGCGACGTCGCTCGCGGGCCAGATAGACGAGGAGCGGACAGTAGGCCAGACAGGCGAGACCGGCAAGTCGCATCACCCACTCGAAGCCGATGCTCTTCACGAGCTCGCCGCTGGCTATAGGTCCTGCGAGCAGAGAGGTAGAAGAGAAAAGAAAGAGAGAAAGAGAGAGAGAGAGAGAAATGCTGTATGTGATTCGAGTGTACGATATATATAGAGTCAATTGTCCAGTGAACGAACTACTATTTCTATTTTTTTAAATTTAAATTAAATAATAAATTTTAAAAGATCGGTCAACAGTTGTATTTACCATGTCAATTATTAAATTTCCATTTTAAATGTAATTTACATATTCGATTTATGTAATTTATAATTTATGACAAATGATCAGATGTTGTTTCATACCTAGAAATGTTAAAGTAATACAGAGTGCTAATTCTTTTATTTTACTATCATTCAGATCTTTTTTTAAATATATTTATTTATGTAAATAGAAATAGGCTTGATGTTATTCTGATTGTATAATTGAATTAGATAATTCATGACGTTCAAGTAGAAAAAACTGCATTAATTAATTAAATTACAAGAAAAACATTGCGAATTTAAGTTAGCTGTCCGACTATCTCTTATTAATCGTAGATTTTATAGTTTTGCTTATCGCCGATGGGCGTCGCATCTGAAACCCACGAGCAGTTAAATACAACTTCGATTGCTATATAAGGAGATGACTCTACTAAATCTGTCATATTTTTCATCATGAAGCTATAAACTCCAAATATATCAATGAAAATCTGGTGTAAATAAATGTGTACACTGGGTTAACATCGATTCTGTCCGATGGAACGCCGGAATTTCCTATATATGCTTAAACACGTTCCACCATTCGGTTGGACCGCATAGATAGAAACGATATTAACCCAGTGTACAGTCAGCAGCGTCGCGATCAAACTTTTGAAAGTCCGGCGTGTATTAGGGGCGTTGCCCATGTGCTTCCTGCGGGGGCCTCCGATTACACTATGGGAACTTTCACTTTCGAGTCGTCTCTGCTGCATAGCTCGTCTAGCTTTGACCATGTGTTTTTTAATTTCTGTACAGAGATCTCAGTACGCGTTTCGACCTCGTGGTGTATAAGCAGCACAACTGTCTCATTGATTTTGAAAGAAAAAACTAATATATTTTTTAAATAATCGGTGTTTGTGTATCGTGTGTTACAACTTTCAAAATAATATAATGTCTTCGTCAAGTGTCAGATCCGACGAACAACGCGTGGAGCATCCAAAAGTAGACGATTTGAAGAGGTTACGAAAAAGTTACTTCTTGAAGATAAAGGGGCATCGATACCTATTTCTCGCTGAATTAAAAACCTTAATAAAAAATTGGACGGAACGACTTCCAAATCTGGGCGACATCTTTACGAGCCAAGAGATGGATTGGCTTCTCGAGGCGTGCATCGATTCGTTGAAACTTTATGGAGAACTCGTTGATTTCTTCATGCGTTGCGGTTACAAAGACGAGCCCGACTTGGACGAGGACGGCAAGCCACTGTTACGTCGTACTACTGTAGTGCACTGGGCAGCTAGACAAAATTACTCCCACAGTAATATATTTCGTGCGCTTTTTAAAATTTACGACAAATTTGACGTAAATTATATCGACGAGTCGGGCTACTCTCATTTCCACGTGGCCTGTGAATGTGGCCCCGAAGACGCGGTGAAGAAATTCCTCGAGGTCGGTCGAGTCGATCCGAATCTCCTCGTGTCGAAAACGGGTGACTCACCTCTACACTTGGCTTTGAAGAAAACGAACACGACGGTCGTTGAATTGTTGCTGAGAAGTGGCGCCGATCCTAACCTGGCCGACGGGCTCGGATCGACTGCTTGGCACGTCATTAGTAGCCTAAACAGTTACGACGAGATGAACCCCGAAGAACAGTGCGAAGATCTATTAGACATCTGCGACGAAAAACGTCTGCCAGTAAAAATCGACGCGCAGGACAATGCGGGCAACACACCGTTGCACTTGGCGCTGTGGCAAGGCCGCAGAGGACTGCCGTTGGCTGAGATACTGCTGAGACGCGGCGCCAATCCGTCTCTGACCAACGCAAAAGGAGAGACTTCTCTGCACATCGTTGCCAAGCACGCCCGCGTAGTGGGGCGATTTTTCAAAATGATCGGAAACACGAAGCAGCAGACGTTGCAGATCGACACCCGGGACAAGTCGGGCCGAACCGCGCTGGAATGGGCCGTAGCGAGTTGCTGTCCGCCGGCCGTCGTGAGTATTCTGGAACGTGGCGCCGACGTGTCCGGATTCGTTTTTCCGACCGCGACGGACTTTGACAAGTGCAGGGGAATCTATCGATCGTGCGTAATTAAACTAGCCGTGGCGACTGGTCTGCTGGCCATCGTCGAACTGCTCGAGACAAAAGTAGGTCGGGAACTGGACCTCGGCGACGCCCTGAAGGTCATGGGATTTTTCGACGAGTACGGATTGTATGAAAGTGCGGATGTTCCGATCACTAAGGATGTCGACGATTTGGTCGATGCAATATTAAAAAAGATGCCGAAAAATCCCACGTATATGGATTACTTCAAGTTCGCGAGCTCGTACTACAAACGCCTCGACTACAAGTCTAAGGATGCTTGTGATTTGCGTCTGTGCGAAAAAGTAACGAGGAAATTTTTTCGCGAATGGGCCCTGGATTGCTTTATGGCATTGATACACTATCGGCTGCCAATTCTCTGTTGTGACATGATTCTAGACCAGCTATCGAACAAAGATTTGTATAATATTTGCTTGATGGCTAAAAGTCAAACTGATGAGCAAGATAAAATAAATGTAATAGAAAATGTATTAAAACGTAAAAACGAAAGACCCTTTGGAGTTGAAAACGCTCCAAAAAAGGCTAAAAATTGAATGTTGATATGATAATATAAAATGTAAAAGGAGTGAAAAAGATGATCGGGTATTAGCTTGGCGGCTGCGGGTTAAAACTCGTGATGATGACAATAATTATAATTGGAATAATTTTATTTATGCATGTAAAAAAATTGATATTTCTTTGGTGCGTGAGTGCGCGCGCTTGAAGTGTTGTGTGTATGGAAAGAGATGAGTGATGTCGGTACTTACTGTTAAACTTGGAAGCGATCAGTTGAATATTTGTTTACAGAGTAAATAGAAGTGTGAGGCATTTGAACTTAATTGTCGTTTCTTTGTTTAACAGGTAATTTTGTAGATATTGTATAATTATTTTAGTTGTAATGATAAATAATCTTTGTTTAACAGAGAAACATATACGGCATCACACTAATTTGATCGAATCTTCATATATGTATATGGTGTAATTGCTTCAATGAATTAATAAATACATTTAATAAAACGAGTTTCCATTTGTCCATTGATAAGCACAAGATCATTACCCTCTTCAAAACGATAAGTTGTCCGTATTGCTGGATTTTAACAAGTAATCAAATGTTCAGTAATAGAGTCATTGAAGGTTATGACTTGGGCACAGTAATAGGTGTTTTACCCTATATGATAAATTGTATTTTTTGTTGAAAAATGAAATTTTTTCACCGTAAAAGTCGGAAATTTCATAAGCTTGTGTAGAGTGGTTTTTTGGCATTCATACTAAAATTCCATCATTATGGATTAAAAATTCTGGATTTCTTATAAAAAATTAAGATTAATATAATAATACAATTAGCTGTCTAAGGACAACCATCAGAAGTGAAACTTCAATAAATTAAATTCAAACATCAATGTATAGAAAATCGTACGAAAAAGAGAAAAAAATCGAAAACTTGAGTAAAGTAAAAAAGTAAAGTAAGTAAATCCAAAAGTAAAAAAAAATTGAAGTTCAATTGAAATAGGTAATTCCAAAAAAAATCTAAAGAAATCAAATGAATAAAAAAGATTAAAGTTCAAATAAGTCTCAATGTAATTGAAAAGAACAAATATTTAAAATCGAGTTAAATTTAAGAAAATTCAAAAACGAAAATTCAACCGAAGAAAAGGACTCTGAACTTTCACTTCTGGTGCTAATGTATATACAAAGCATTCTAGAGAATCTAACCACCAAAATTGAAACTTCAGAGTCATTTTTTTCGGTTGAATTTTCATTTTTGAATTTTCTTAAATTTAACTCGATTTTGAATATTTGTTTTTTTCAATTACACTTTTCAGTAGTGATTACTAATCGTGTCGGCCCTATTGGGCGTCGAAGTAATGGCGGCGTACCCCCGGGGATTAACATTATGGCTCCGTATAAGCCCATGCTTATCCCCGGGGGTAGGCCGCCATTTTCGTATGCTATTACTATATCTATATATATAAAATTCGACGCCCTAAAGAGCCAAGTTTAGCGGCGAATTGCCTTGCCGAGTGTGACAATCGGAATCTTGCCCTAATTCAACTACCTTACAACTAAGTCCGCGAGTGCGAGAGAAAGTATTCAACTCTCACTTGGCTGAAGCCAATACAAGTATACTTCCTCGAAGCTCAGCCTCAGCCTCATCATGTGATATATAAAATATCACGCAGTCGTTTGAGCGAGAAGTACGCACGAACACGCACAGAGCTACGCAAGAGCGTGTGCGAGAGAGACAGTTACAAGTCACTGCGTAGAAATTACGTAGAGTTGAGCGCCAAGCTCGTAGCAGTAGATGCGCGCCTAAAACTCGGCAACCGCAGCGAATAGCCAGCAGCTGCTAGCGCGGACGTCGTAGAAGTACCCTGTCTGTATTAGTTATTTACACATCAAGGACTGTATGCTTCTTCTTCTTCTTCTTCTTTTATGGCACCATCTAGTGGAGTAACCCACGTTTAAAATATACGGCCATAACTGTATGCGGTGTGGATACAGTCGAGGTGTGTTTGCAGCGTCTGTAGTCGCCGAGGCTGCGTAGCGAAGCGAAGCAGCCAAGCGATAAAAATTATTTTCCGAAAAATGTTATTAAAAAAAAACACAATGAATAAAAAAGTTTAACTTTAAAGTTTATCTCTGTTGAAAATCGATTTTAGTTTTTTGAGTTGCGGCACGTGCTAAGGTAATAGGTAATCCCCTCCACTGTTTCCTTATTGAAAGGTTCCTTACCAAAAGGTTAAATAACCTTTTGGACTCATATACG